CCTAATCTATTTAATCACACAGATGCTACTAAAAAAAAAAAAAATTTTTAATTCTTCGATTTAATTTTCAACTACTTATCAATATCTGTATTCATAAAGTTAAATTTTTATATTCCTTTTGTCTATTTTTATCAATTCTCTTACCTGTTACACAGATTTTTTAAATTATTAGGTGGTGGTAGAACTTTAAGGTTCACAGCAATCTGAGCTAGTAACACACATCAAAGTAATTTGATACAGAATATTAAAATGAATAATTTTTAAAGGTAGCCATATATATATTTTTTTAATACCAACAGACCATATTTAACTGGAAGACAAAGAACAAGCTTAAAAATGATTGCTAGGGGCATTTTTTTTCCTTGTTTGTTTTTTCTCTTCTGGGATTTAGAAAGCTTTTGATTTGGCTCTTGGGTTTTTTTAATTGAATATTAAAATATTCATATATTTAAGTACCTGCTTTGTGCCAAAGTGTGGGAGTTTCTGCCATGAATCAGTCAGATGTGTTGTCTACCACTGTGCACATTTCACACAAATGGGTAAGTGTCTTCTCTGAGGATAGAAGACACAGAAGACTCTCAAGCAGCACCCTTTCATGTACCCATTTGTTGTGATAGATAGATATTTACCAAAAAAAAAAAAAACCCTCCCCCCCCAAAAGACACTGGAATTTAAATAAAAACTTTAAAAAACTCAGACCATATTTTTAATACATTGATATTTGCTTATTTTAAATGATTAAGTTGCTTTATGGATCTATATAACAGGAATAAAATTGTATTCTTGGCATTCAATTAAAAATACTCAAAAATTTATTATAGTATAGGGGCGCCTGGGTGGCTCAGTGGGTTAAAGCCTCTGCCTTCGGCTCAGGTCATGATCCCAGGGTCCTGGGATCGAGCCCCACATCGGGCTCTCTCTCTGCCTGCCTCTCTGCCTACTTGTGATCTCTCTCTGTGTCAAATAAGTAAATAAAATCTTTTTAAAAAAATTTATTATAGTGTATACATTATTTTTATTCTAAAAAAGCTACATAAAATAAGTAGCTTTAGGTACCCCTCAGTTAACTTTCATTCATTTTCAAAATATCATTACATCTTTGTGTACTTAAAACTACAGAACAACACACTGATAGTGTGTTTACTATTTAAGATATGGTCTGACTTCTAACAACATACATACCACCAATAGGCCATGATATTGGGGGCACAAAATTTTGTCATCAGTATTTGATAGAAATCATGTGATTATAGGATGTCCTAGTTCCAATAGTCAGATTTTTGGCTAATTTAAATACTTCTCGTTTTCTTTTCATACATTCTGGAATCTATAAACCCTAATACTCAAAAAGACTAAACACTTGTTTGAGACTGTATGTTTGAAGGGGATCAGAATGAGTTCTGTTTTGCTTAAACTCTTTTGTTGATAGAAAAATGAAAGAGGTATGTGGGTATTTTGTACAGGGCTGACATATAATTGAGTCCATGCACTTAGAAATTAAAGCATTTTTGACCAACGGTCACAGCCTTTATATGAATATTAAATTACATGGCATGATAACATAAATATATTTTTTAAGTGTCTGCTCTACTTACACATTCACCTGTTAATGTAACAAATTAGGCACAGCTGATGGATTTTGATAATAGCAGCTGTCAACCTCTGTTAAAATCAATCAGGGGCAAGACTGTATATATTAAATCCTGTATCATGTCATGAAAATTTATTTACAATTTAACCACTAATAAGCATAACTGTCAGCTTTGCTGTTGACAGTGTCATGATGTGTTTTGGCTCTAGGTATCTTACTTGTATGCTAATTTTTTAATTTAAAACTTTGTGGCATCTTTGAGAAAAACTTTCCAAGTGCTGCAAAATACATATTTTTTTAATTACTGTTACCTAGAGTTGAATATTACCTTGAAAATACCCTACATTTTTTTATTTCTCTTACTTAATTCTTTTAAGAATGAGGCTAATTTTTTTAAACAAGTATATTAGAATTTATATTTCCAAATGAGTATTACTTTAAAAGCAATCCTATTGGTTAAATGACCCATTTATGCCAGTGATACATCCATAATGGAAATCATTGGACCGGTTTTGATATTGACTTTAAAGTGTATATATATATATATATATATATGTATGTATCTTTTTATTTGACAGAGATCACAAGTAGGCAGAGAGGCAGGCAGAGAGAGAGAGAGGAGGAAGCAGGCTCCCCGCTGAGCAGAGAGCCCGATGTGGGGCTCGATCCCAGGATCCTGGGATCATGACCTGAGCCAAAGGCAGAGGCTTTAATCCACTGAGCCACCCAGGTGCCCCTAAAGTATATTTTTAACTACCCAAAAATATAATTTTATTGCTTCTAATAATTTATACTGAAAATGTGACCATTGAGCTTATTTCACTAGATTTGGTCTTTGAATGGTTTTCAGTTTTTAAAACTTAAATCAATCCTCCTTCTTCTTTTCCATGGACACAGATTTTTTTTCACCACCGAAATGATTCAGGAGAATCTTTCCCACACGTTTGTCCGGTTAACCTGTCTCATTCAAGACTAAATCATATTTTTTCTTTGAGAATTTTAATGGGTCCCTATTGCCCACTACCAAGCTCAAATTTCTCCCCCTTCCACTATTGCTGACCACCAGTTTTTCTAGGCCCTTTGTTTGCTGACCTTACCAGTAAGAGGCAGTGTTTCTCTCTTTTTAGGTTACACAGCATCGGCATTACCAGGTTAGACAATCTGGTCATGTGGGCGTTCTCTTCCTCCTCCTCGATGCAGACTTTCTTCAAGGCAGGGGCTGTTCCTCATTCATTTTCCTCTCCTCACAATGCCTAACCCAGAGCCTGGGACATAATATACCCTCAATGTAGAACAGAAAGTGTTACAGGCTTAGAATTCCATTCCAAAGAAAAGCTGTGAAACCTAAAAGTTTAAGCGTATTCAAAGTATGTCAGAAGGTACTAATTCAAATAAGACTTTTTTTAATCTCATATTGTTTCTCTTCCTTTTATTCTTTCTCAGTAGCTCTTTTCCATTCTCCCTAAAAAAGTTAGGTTTGACAGGGGAGGTCACAGGAGCTGTAGTCTCTCTCTCACAGCTAGCAGGGCAAGTGATGGCTCAGTGTGACGGGCAGCTGACTCTGAACCGTGTTGACACCAGTAATTAGTTCACTCAACTAAACGTAACTGGTTTTCAGCACATGTGTCTGCATAACTGACTGTCCTCTTCGGTCTGGGTGTACAGAAAGTAGAACCGGCAGGGGCTCCGTAAGTTGTATATGATGCCATCTCATGAGAAAACCGAGGAGGAATTTTAGAGGCAAAGTTAGAACTGGGACTAAGGTTTCCAGCCTCCCAGGAAACCGTAGAGCACCTCCACTCTTCTAGCCCTCTCTGTGCGGGTACCCTTGCCTGCTGGCAGAAGGATCTGTCTCTGGTTCTCTAGGATGCAGAGAACCTCATGGGCTTGGTACTGGCCATCTGGTTGTCCCTCATCTCACCCAGCTATGAGGGTCCATTTGATTATCTTCTGTACACAGTGACTTCAATAACTGCCACATACTTCTGACAGCAAAGCCCAGAAGATGGGCCATCTGAAGGCTGAACAAGGAGACTAAGTCACTAAAATTCCAACGGTATCTTCCTCCCCCAAACAGTGTTAAAGGGAGCTTCATGAAACGGTAAACTGCATATGCCTGTTGTTTTATCTGTGTTGTAGTAGTTCCCTTCTCAAATAGGAATTAAATTTAATACTGAACATTACAACTTATGTAAATTGTTTTTCTGTTTTCCAGTAAGAGTTTCTCAGTCCTCCCTTTCAGCTACTTCCTATTACTTGTCTAACTCTAGATAAAATAGGAGTAACTTACTTCATCTTAGTTGGCTCTTTAATGAAATCAAAATGAAGATTCTAAGGCCTCTCTATAATGAACATATATACTACTTTATCTGGAGGTATTTTAATATAGTATCTTTAGAATTATCTAATTAATGATATTATTTCCTAATGTAATGTTTCTAAAAGATTAGTGAATATTATTATTCTAATAACTAGTAAGTACTCTGACCAGAAGTTCTCTGTTTTGTTTTACCTAAGCAGACATTTGCCACATAGGGTTTGAAGGAAGGATGCTTAAAGAGAAATTAATAAACCATGGTCTAGTAGCAGCCCAGATACAGAGACATGGAGCTGTGGGCCGCGGGCTGTGGGCCTTCAGGGGATCCAGCACATCTCTGTTGTGAACAAGACTATGTGCAAGACTGTGCCGCTGGGTCTGTAGTTTTCAGAGTCAGAAGTGAATCACACTTCATGCTGTGGCCAGTGACTTCTGCCACATTTTTGAAAGCCCAGTTGCATCAGGAATTTTCTTTTCATTCAACTTTATTTCCTATACTGACAGTTTTTTTTACATTCAGTATCTATAACGAACATTCACTGAATGCTTCCTTATATGCCAGGTCCAGTTCTCACAGTTCTGTCATTCAAATTTTTTAATCCTCTTAGCAACTCTTGTGAGGTAGGTTCAGTTATTATCCCTTTTCTGATGTGGAAACTGAGGCACAGAGAGGTTATGTAATTTGGTCAACGTCACACATTTAGTTACTGATGCAGAGGAGTATAAACACAGAGAATCCGACTCTAGAGGTTACGCTCTTAACCATTATGTCACACTGCATCTTGGAAAACCTCTATCTTGGGTTTTGTAACAATGAAATGTTTAGCTTACTTTCTTTTGATGGTGGGAGTGGAAGCAGAAAGGAAGGGTCAGGGGCTGGAGCCAGAGGCCTCTGTGGGCTGAATTAGAATTCAGCATTTCTTTCAGAGAGGGTTTCTGGCCAGAAGAGGATCGAGACCTTCCACGTTAAGGAAATATTCAACTTAATTTCTGTCTGGATCATTAGAGTTCTAGCTTATGACATTTTAATCTTCATAACTTCATGGTCTATAATTCATGAAACATTTTTGATAAATTCTTTTGTTTCTACAGAAACTCAAACAGAAGAATCAACAGCTGAAGCAAATTATGGATCAATTACGAAATCTCATCTGGGATATAAATGCCATGTTGGCAATGAGGAACTAAACTGATATTTAAATTTCCTGCTTTACTTGTTATGCCATTCCCCACCCCCAAGTGTCTTTTCCCTTTGAAGAAGATTATTTATCTGCTTCTATTCTACTCATTAGAATTAAAGTTCCTGTTTTTACATTGTAATTTTACATTATTCATTGGCAGTTTTTTTTTAAGCTATTGATTCTATGAAAGATTATAATAAACTTTGATAGGGCTTATGTTTTGGTTAATCTTCATGAATTGAATTTTTTAAGCAAAGTAATTAAGTTTTGTAAATAAATTTTTCAATTTGATCAGAAGTTGTTTTGCGCATTTTATTACCCTTTTAGGAGACTTAAAGGTTTAAACATTTTTGCAAATGAAAATATCAAGTACAGTCTATCTGTGGTACAAACTAATTAAAATTAAATACGTAAGTCTCCATTTCAGCTCAATTTTTTTAAATGTAGAGTCCCAAACAGGGTAGAATGAGAAATTAGTTAACCTGTATATTGCTATAAATAGATGAAAATTACTTTTACCACATGTTTCATGTGTTGGGTCTTAACTACAAAGGCCTGTCTCTGACAGGACAGAACGAAACCATTTGAGTCTGGCATGAACTGAAATCCCAGCCATATGCTTCTGTGCTCCCAGCTTTAGCCCAAGAAGCAACACCCAACCTGATTCTTCAGGTACACCCTAAACTAAGTTTTAGTGCCTTTTGGAAACAGTAAATTTTTAAGAGTTTTAAACGTGATAGCACTTAATGACAAGTGCTTTTGTAGACTGGTACTTGGTCTATCCCACGCCCGTCATGGGTCTGTCTGCAGGAGCTAGTCTCTCCCATCATAATGCATCCTCACATGAGGGATTAAGATTCTTAGACCGATCCAGAAGCCTCTATCTCTCTTGCCTGGCTCTGACTTAACCATAAATACTGCTATTCAACTTCTCCTGTATAAGGACACGGTTTCTCAGGAAGGTTACACAAGCGCCTGGAAGGAAACCAGCTTTCTCTGGGGAGGGGACCCTGGGTGGTTGAGGATGAGGGTAAAGAAGATGCTTGCTTTTTCACCGTATGCCCTTTGGTACCTTTGAAATTTAGGTCATGTGAATACTGCCTATTCAAAAAATAGGTGAAATTTCATCTTAGTTTAGAGATTCCCACTTACACCGAGTGGCAGAGGCATAAGAGAGTAAGCCTAACCGTGCGCAGGGGCATCGTCAGACCCTCTAGCTTACATCCGTCAGAGCAGTTCTGAGGAAGCCCAGCGTTAGTCAGCCGAGGAGGTTAACTGCCCACAATGGGACACACTGCCATTTCAAGCAAAGATAAACGCATAGGAAGCTAGGACAAGGACAAGAATTGGGACCAATCATTTGGTCTACCTCAGAAATCTGCTGTATCTAAGGGTATTACATTTTATTTAGCCTAAGGCCAACTGGACATGCAAGGTTGTTACAGATGTTCATTACTCGTACATTCTTTGCATGGGAGTGTGCTGGCTACTGTCACAAATTTGGTGCTTGGGTATTGACTAATAAAGCAGTTACAAAAATTGTTGTAACCAGATGGTTTTTTGTCCTTTTAACTGTCACACTCAGTGCCTTAGGTCATTCAAGGTGCCAGGAATTCAACTCTTGGAAGGAACGTGGAAACTGCGACTTTTGGGCCTCAGTTCTATGCAGCATATCTCCACTTTGGGGCAGTACTCAGTGCAGCTAGCTCAGCTACGCTCAGCTACAGGGCTGTGGCCCCAAATTCTGAGAGTGCACTTTCAGCCCTCAGAACTGAGGCTGGTGTACCCAGTCACTCACAAGTCTGCTTGGGACCGATGATGACTGTCTTAGGGGTTATTAAACACTAGACCCCACTAACCCTGAGAGTTCCAGCTTTTTCTTGAGGGAGAGCAAGCCAGTAAGTAGACTGAAAAGCCAGAAAGCCACAATTCCTGTTGTGATATGTGGCCCTAGGCAAGTTAATCTCCGTTTTCTGGTCTGTAAAAGGATACATGGCATTTTCATCTGTGTTAGAATTTCAGTTGCAAATGTTAGAAACCCAATTCAAACCGGCTTAAGCCAAAGGGGATTTATTAGTTCCTGCAGCAAAAGAAAGGATGCTAGAGGAGAGCTCACAGGATCCGAGAAACTGCAGGAACTCGGGCTGTGGGAATTAGAACCAAGGTTCGACGCCCAGGTTTCTCAGTGCCTTCTCCTTTCTGCTGGCTTTCTGCTCCATTCTCGCTACTGCAGATAGGCTCTCTCCAAGTAGTGGGAATGAGGCTTTCCACCTTTACATCTTCTCTGTACCCCGACCCCCAAAGCTGGGCCACTTCTCCCACTCTATGCGGAGAATTCTAACGGACCCTGATTAACACAGCTTGGAGCCTTATAACCAGCCTTTGGACCAGCTGTTGCATACAGGGATACTAGGATTAGACTGACCCAGGTTATGAGCCCATCTCTGCAGCCAGGAACTGGGTGTGAGAGTCATGACAAAGTTATCGAGCGGGTAACAAATATTAGGGAAAAAAGGCACCAATCAGGAAAATTTGCCAGAAACACAAACAATGGCAAACACAGTCCACTGATTCTCACTCTTACTTAGTTATCCTACTACCTTAAATAATGAGTTATTCAACTCTCAAAAAACCCAAGAAGAGTCTATAGAAAACCAGATGCATTATTCACTACCATGGGAAAACTATAAAAATGTTTTCTGAATTTGTGGACTTCTGTGTTGGCATCTTTCTCTGCAGCTGTTTTAATTAGTGATGGTATGATCTTGTCAGGTCTTGGTTAGGCTCACCTGGGTAAAAGCACAGATAGAAAGAACAAAGAAAATAAGATAAAATGAAAACTCCAGCATCCTGGTAATAAAATGATCTTTGAAATGATTTGGAAACCTAAGGCCCTGATCATTCAAACACTAGATCCCTTGGCACCATTACAAGCCAAAATGTGTTAACTTGACATTTTGACGTAGTTCCAGTTTGAGTAATTCATTTTATTTCCTTAAATTCCCAAGGAAGTTTAAGCCAGATAGAGGAGTCTTTCAGCCTTAAACTAAAATGTGTGCTTGTCCTATAGCTCATAGAGTTTGTTATCCTGAGTGTTCTTAAATCTGTCCAATGTAACTAGGTGCCTTAAAATTTTTTCTATTCCTAGAAGACATTTGTGGACGAAGGACTGATTTTTTTTTTTAAGCACAAATTGAAAGACATTCCAGATGATTCACACTTTTTTTTCCCAAAAATTCTTACTGTTGTCAATTTGTATCTGCATCCCCCAAACTAGACTATTTAGACATTTACAAAGAAAATGGGAACCTGTATTTTCTCCATACTTTGAGGTCTTATTCTTCTATGACACAGGGACATAAGACCACCAAAGGGCACACTCCTTGTTGGAACTACCACAACCTGTTTCAACCTACTTAGCTGTCTGTCTGTGGCACGATCGCTTATCTAATTTTGTGTGCACAAGGATCACATGGCTGCACTGTTTAAAATGCAGATTCGGGGACTGACCACAAATGTACTGAATCAGAATGTCCCCAGGTAAGGTCTAAAATTCTGCATATTAAACAAGCTTTCCAGGTGGTCTACCACTGACACTAGAAAAATATTGTTCTATGCAGTCCAGTGATAGTCGTTAGGAGTATTTTTATATGAAAACCTGTTCAAAAATAGCTATATTAAGGTAAGAAAAAATGTCTAATGCATTATTAAGACTTCTAGCCTTTTTGAGTATTTAAAACTAATACTCTATTATCAGCAATTCTCAACCTCAGTTGCACATTAGAATCACCTGGGGAAATATTAAAGTCTCCTGTATCAAGGCCACACCCCAAAATCAAATCAGAATTCTGGGATGAAAAAATAATAATAATAATAATAATTGATTCAGGGATCGATGTGTTTTAAAGCTTCCCAGGTGACCCCTGAGTGAAGCCAAGGTGAGAACCATTGTGAGACGTTGATTCATACGTGCCATATGTGGAAAGGATCTTCAGCGATTTGATTTTTCTACCAATAAACATTTGGAACAAAGTACTCCCAGAGGTCAAAATCCTAAAACTCACCTATACTCAAAGGTATTTTTGCAAGGATACCTGGATGTCAGAGGCAAAGAACCCTGACTCTCATCGTCCATAAGCACACTGCCACTCAGAGAAGAACTGGAGAATGCCATCCAGTCAACAACTTTGATGCAAAGGGAAGGATGGGAACTGATGCATGGCCTTCCACCCTCATAGGTCATAATACTTCCAAGACCTTGACCAGATGGAGTGAAGTCCAGAGGAAGGCAACGTGTCTCTTTATTCCCTGTTCAATGCTGAGAATGGCCATATCTTCTTTTAGATTGTTAAAAGTAACCAACCTGGGTTTATAATTTACTCATCTAACAGTCATTTATTGATCACCTCCAGACTCCTCACACCAGGGTAGGACCTGGGTATCAAGATGGAAAGGACCCTTCACTCAAAGCTATGGACTGTAAGCTAGAAGAGAGCTGTTCATGTGAACAAACTCTAAACTAGTCAGGGGTCTTCTGCACATTTGCAAGATAGACAATCATCAACCAACGTAAAGAACCAACAAACTCTGAGGAACCCTTATTCCACTGAGACTTGCATTGTCCTGATGCCTGTAGAGCAGATTACAGGGCTCAAATCAGAGAGCTCCTTCCCATGGGATATCACACAAACATGATAGGTATGGGGTTAAAAAGTTCTATTGTTGTGTATGCCCAGAACTGTTTAACATTCTAACTTAGCATGAAGATACAAGAAGGGAACACTATAAAAATGTTCAACTCCAGAAGATGAGAATGTAGCACAGATTTAATTGCAATAAGGTGAGGGAAATAAGTTTTGAAAACAGCTTTCAGAAGGGGAAGAAAAGTCATTTGTGAAAGCTCAGTACTTAAAATCTACAGATGGCACAGCTAACAAATAAATCAATTAAAGAATGCAAAGTGTGAACAGAAACATAAATGTGAATTAAAACCATACAAACTTGAAGTTATGTATGAAGTAAGTATTTTAACCACTGGCACTAAAGTTTTAAATTGAATTCTCTGATGAAACAGGAAACTGGTATAATTGCCTGAGTAAAGGTTGATTTGAGAATTACAGCTGGTGGGAAAAAAAAAAGTAAG